CAGGCTGTAATTGGATGCCTTCGGATACTGCCTGGCAACAGGCAGTGATTGGTTAGGGCATAAACCGCCCCTTGATCGGATTGGCTGCCTTGGTTCTTTAAGCTGCTGTACCAACTGAAATAAACAAGTCTGCGGGCTGCTTGCCTCTGGCCCGCTTTCACCCGACTCCCAGGGTCTGTGTGGTGACTCCACGCCTCTTGCCCCCACCACACTCCTCCTCTCAGAACGAATCCACCGCAACACAACTTTTCCACCTGTGCTAATGAAAGTTCCTAGAGAATTCAAACACAGAGCCATCAGATCTTAGGTATTCTGGGTTCTCTTGCATTTAGGCATTCCTGTGATTAGCTTCGGCTTAACATGTGTAGCTCATGATAGTTGCAATAGTGGAAGCTCATGAGTAACAATGCCTACAGCAGAGCTCCTATCCAGCTGAGATGAACATGTGGTATGCCAAGAAAGAACTGTGCTAACTTACTGATGTCTGTGAGCTATTACAGCAGTATAAGCTAATACAACTGATACAGAGTCCTGAGAAATTGCTGGCTTCCAACCTCAGCTGGGGTCCCAGTGCTATGTATAATCCTTATTTCCCTGGTCAGCTGTTTTCCCGCTTTTCATGATCCTATTTTATTATGGAAAATCCCCTCTCTCCTCAATACTGACTTCAGGTCTGCATACTATGACTCTCAGAACAACAAGGAGCACAATTCACCTTTTGCTTTACAGAGAAAATAAGTAAAATCCTTCAAATGAGAATTTTCTCAATTTCCTGCTACTGCACCTACCCTGATTCCTTCCTCCCTTCTTCCTGAAGAAAGAAGGACGTGGCCTTCCTGCCATCTTTCTACAGTTCATTTCTCTGAGCTCTCAATCCCAGTACTTCCCATTTCAGAGATCTCGTACAAAAAATTCTCTTAACTCTCACTATAATTTTTTCCCTTTCTCCAGGCTTCTTCCCGTAAACACTGCAATATGCTGATGTATCTCCTGCATGAAAGGAGAGAGAAAAAGAGAGAATGAAAGAAAGTTATCAGTCCTCCCATGTACCCTCAAAACAACATTCTCACTTTTATGCCTTTCACAGGCAACTTCTTTAGAGTGTTGTGTGCTATCTCTCTCCTCCTATGCCTTCTTCAGCATTCTGCTTCTCCAAGTCCATCCTTCACCTGTGTTTACACGGACTCCAAGTGGGAAAACTACAGCCAGATCTAATACAATTCTAACAACCTCTCACCCAAGATCATGCAGAGCTACAAGTTCACAGCTTCTGCTAAGACTTTGACAAGCACCTAACACCAGAATGGTTCCTTAAGGTGTGTCCTTAAACACTTTGCTATCTTGTGCTCAACACTGCCCTACAAAGATGTCATCCCCAAGATCATCAAATGCAAGAAGGAATCTTCCTATTGCCATGGTTTCCATCACCAGATCACAGACATTTTTAGCTCTGATTCCACATCAGGCACCACCACCCTGGTGGGATGCAGAGATCCATAAGATTCTACAATGAAAATGGTACATTTTGGATCAAGTCTGAGCAAGATCAGGTTGCATCAATAAGTTACATGAATAGGTCACCCCCCATCATGCTGATGCGTGACTGACAGAGGAGGGGAAATCTTGGGCCTGGTTGATATACAGAATAGCTTGATATGTTGGAGCCAGTTGAAAATGGATTTCTACTTCACTCAGGTAGATTTGGGGATGTCTCTCAGGGACAGCGGGTGGGGAAAATTCTCTCACTGGGCAGTTTTAAACAGGACACTTGACCGTTGTTGTTGTGTGGTGGTATGAATATCCACAAAATCTTGGTGCAGTGACAGAATGCTTGGTTGGTTGGTCAAGAGCCCAGAGAGAACAAATTTGGAAGACCAGAAATAAAGATGCAGAGGAACTTTTGGCAGTGAGCACAAAGTATGTGGACCTTTATTTCCCACATTAGTGCCCAGCAGACATCACTTACTGGAAAGAACTCTCTCAACCGCCAAGAGGATGGGATGCTTCATCCTATCATTCTTTTTTTTTTTTTTTTTTTTTGACAGGCAGAGTGGACAGTGAGAGAGAGAGAGACAGGGAGAAAGGTCTTCCTTTTCCGTTGGTTCACCCTCCAATGGCCACTGCAGCCGGCGCATCGCGCTGATCTGAAGCCAGGAGCCTGGTGCTTCTCCTGGTCTCCCTATGCAGGTGCAGGGCCCAAGCACTTGGGCCATCCTCCACTGCCTTCCTGGGCCACAGCAGAGAGCTAAACTGTCAGAGGGGCAACCGGGACAAAAGCTGGTGCCCCGACCGGGGCTAGAACCCCAGGTGCCGGCGCTGCAGGCGGAGGATTAGCCAAATGAGCCGTGTTGCCGGCCCATCCTATCATTGTGAGCTTACCTATTTACAACCACACCACTGCTTGGTATCCATTGTTTGGCTAGAAAATTTTATCCATAGGAACAAGGAAAGGAGGGGAGCTTGTTGTTAGGTCACCTGAGGCGCTCCTGGTTTCAGCTGGCACACTATATTGGGCCTAATTGTAGACCCTCCACAACTACACAATCAAGAGATTTTTACCGATTGCCTATTATACCAACACAGGCTTTTTCATTACATCACCTGAGAGCACAGGTGTTCTCAAGCAAAAAGGGGTTCAGTAACAGGCTATGAATGAGATCCACTGACATTGCCTTGGAAGTAACTGCAATGTGTGCAATATGGTTTGCATGTGTTCCCCAAGGGGTAGAGGCTTGGCCCCAAATGTGCGATGCTGAGGTGGTGAAACCTTAAAAAGGTAGAGCCTAGTGGGAGTTGGTTAGGTTATTTGGAGGTGTAGCCCTTGGTAGAGATTAAGGCAGTTCTCCTAGGACCTTAGTTCTTGTAAGAGGGTTGTTACGGAAAGAGCAAACCTGGCCTCTTCCCTGCCTCTTTGGTTCCTGTCTCACCAGGTGATTGATCTCTCCATCTTGCATGTGCTCATACTTCTGTGATGCCATCAACCATTAGGTTGTCATCAGAGCTGAGCCAATGCTGGTGCCTTGAACTCCAAGAAAACAACCCAATATAACAACCAGACTGCTCTCTTATGGATATTGTGGTATTCAGTTCTTTATATAATCCAATGGCCAGCGTTGCCCACATCAACTAGATTGTCCCTAAGAGTTGGAATACACAGGTCTGGAAACAGGGGTTAAGATAGGATTGACTTTTTGGACAGTTAACTCCCAGAAACCCACTTAGGGAATGTGTTCTTCCTGTACCTGAAACCTAGGCGCTGCTGCATTAGGAGTCCTGGTCCTAATGATGGGAGAGGAGATGCTTCCATCAAGTTCCACAGTAAGGATTCCACTGAATCAGAAGCTACACGTACCTTTCAGTCTTTGGGAATGGCTCACGCTGCCAGCCTAGCAACCAGAGAAGGGAATCACTGCTGTGGTAGGTGAAGTATACCCTGATCATCATCAGGAGGTAAGCTTGCTGCCATGCAGTGGAGAGAGGGAGGTGTGTTTCTGAAGCTAAGAGATTTTCTGGGTTACCTCTTGGTGCTTTCATGTTTTGTAACGATGTGAATGGAAAATTGCAGTAATCACAGCTTGACAAAAGCAAAGCTACTTGCCTCAGATCCTCAGGGATAAGGACTTGTTCATTTCACTGGGTGAGCAAGCAACCCAGACCAGTTTAAGTGCTGCCCCAGTGTCAGCAAAACATAGGATGAGTGGTGGTGGGAGATCAATACTCATTATGATTTCAGATCCAGTTGTAGCAGTGGCCACAGTCCTCTCGGTCTCTGAGCCTCAAGTCTTCCATAGACTGTGGCCAGTCCCACTTTGAAAACAAGAGTGCTGGGTTTGACTCCATGTGGAACAAGAACAGATCTGGGCCATGCAAGGAGTGGAGTGTACCTGATGTCTGCCATCCCCACGTCACATGCTCTCAGCCCAACTCTGATTTCATAGAACTCAACAATCCTGGGCAAGCTCACACTCACCTCCTGCTGACAATCTTAGAGCTTTGCTGACACCATGAAAATCTGCTTAGTTCATATATAAGTGTAGCTTGGAGGGTGCAAGGTTAACATCACTGGGGTAATCATTAATCAGCTAGGAAAAGGAGGCAGTCAATAATTGCTCCTGCCTTTCACCTTCAAGGTGGACATCCGTTATGTTTCTCAAGGGGTCCCAGTGAAATTGAGCCCCCAGTGCTATAACACTTGATGACTCAGCTCCAATACTGGCTTATTTTCTCCACTCCCTCATTTCTGTTGCCTAGGAGCACCTCACTATCTACACACACACAAGTCCTTTTCTCAGGCTCTTCTTTCAAGAAAATCTCAGTTAACACAGAGTAATGAATTCTGATCTTATAAAATATAATATCCCAGTTTAGAGAAATCAGAAGAAAAATGGGACTTTCAAGTACATTCCTCTTACTATTTGTTATTCCAAAGGTCAACAGATCTCTGGTGTCTGCATTATTTTTTTAAAGTGTGTAGATTTGTCAGCTAACATTTATCTTTACCAAGCAAGAAGCAGAAGGTAACTGCTAGCTATGCTTGTCTGCAAATTCATTGTCAGTGCATATGCAAATACCATGCTTTCTGGTGGGTCTCAGCTGTTGGGGAGGACGTGAGTTCCCACAGAATGTACCTGCCATATTTTCTAGAATCTGCCTGACTGTGGTCTGCAACTCTCACAGTTTTTGGGAGTCCAAACTGCTTTCTACAGCCCCTTCAAACTCCAGATCCCTGAGCCTGCTAAGCTAAGCTACAAGCTGCCAATTAAGCTTCAAAGTCACTACATTAGTCTGGAAAGACTTAATGTACCCCAATGTACTTTATTTTCTCCTAGGGAGTCATGTGCTTGTTGGTAGGAAATAGATGACTAAGCAATCATTATCAACCCCAGGGGATAATTCTAGCAGGGAAGCAAATAAGCCCCAGAAGACAGCATGCACTATCAAACTTACTAACTGTGAAATACAAGAGGCAGGCCGCATTTTATTGACTACTGAGAGATAAATCACGACATCACTGTTTAATGTTCATCACTGTGAACAGTGTCATATGTTTCTCCTGAGCATGATAGGATTTCTTTTCAGGATTTTATGGTAAATATTTCACAGTTACAAGGAAGAACAGATTCAAATGCGGTTGTTTGCTTTGGCACAACATCATATTTGTGTTTCTACATCCAGCAAGCCTAGTATTTATGTCAAAGTATAATTGTAAGCATCTTGAGTCAAACAGTGCTTCCACCTTAATTAAAATATAAATCAATACACCAATCAACACCCATTTACTGAATATTCCTTACAGAGAAGTGCTGTCCTAGGCATAGTACAGTGTAGAAATCAGGGTAAGAATCCCTGTCCTCACATGTCTTAGAAAACTAACATTTTATTCACACTTTCAGCATTAGATATGTTTATAATACAGAATTATATGAATAGAGCTTAAGAATTCCAATTGTTACTTAGCAATCACATTTAAGAAAATAGAAAACTCCTTTAATTATTACCTAATATTCTCTAAGTATGTTGCTCTCTCATTGAGTTTAATGTACTAAGATTTCTATTCAAATGACAATATTTCTATTTAAAGTTTTAATACAGTTATGCATGAAACCAAATTCCAATTTTTTATCATTTCAACACTTTTGATAAATCACACAGTCGCGAGTGATGTCAGATTCCTGGTCTTGAAGATACCAAAAGCATACACCATTGCATATTTCTTGAATAAAGCAAAGCAGTGTATTGTAAGAGATCTTAGGTCCAGGCGCTGCCAGGGAAGGGGACAGGGTGGCGTCACTTCTCCAGAAGGCTCTGGCCCTTTGGTGGCCCAGCAGGTGTCATATTCTTTGTTTATATTCAATGCGGCATTGCCCATCTGGCTGAGGGACCCCCACCAAATGCAGAAAACTCTGAAAATAGAAAAGCAGAAGAAATGCATAAGCCAATGGTTTTAAAATTAAGATTTATTCTATTATAATTTTCTCAAAAAGATATAAAGTGTTCATCTTAAGATTAGGCACGATTTACATTGATAAATTTCACAACATCAAGCACCAACTAGCATCAACTGCTTCATTCAAGGCACAGAAAAGGAGGAAAATCTTTTATGCTAGTAACAGTCTCTCCAGTTTCACATACCAAAAGCTATGGAACTGCAACCTACTCTTTGCTTTATCTGGCTAAAGAAGATACCAGAAATAAGGCTCCTCCTACATTTTTGGCTTATAATCTGTGATGCAACATTTATAACAATTGGGTGATACTTCTTTTTAAAATTATACTTATTTCATTTTATTTGAAAAGCAGAGAGTCAGAGACAGATAGACAGTTAGCTCGTATCCATTGGTTTATTCTCCAAATACCCACAACATCTGGGTCTGGGCCTGGAACTCAATCCAGGCCTCCAATGAGGACGCAGCTATTCAACAACTTGAGCCGTCATCTGCTGCTTCCCAGGGTATGCACTAGCAGGAAGCTGGAATTGGAAATGGAGCTGGGACTTGAATCCAGGCACTGTGATAAAGGATGTGGCCATCCCAAGTGGCATCTTAACTGCTGGGCCAAATGCCAGCTCCACTGGGTAAGGTTTCCATGCTACATGCAATAGGTATTTAAAAAACTACATGTAGTTGATTATGTGAACAATTGTTAAAGTGCACTTGTGATCATGCTTTCTAAAGGATATTTTATGGGTTCTAATTTCTTTCTCCTACCAAGGTATGAGTCTGTGTGGAGGTGAGGGGAGGTCCTTATGTTCCAAATAATACAAAGATGTTTTTGAAACTACGGGGCTTGAAAAGGAAAAGTAACCTGTTCTGTCCACCCTCAGAGTTGAGAGCAGATGGTGAAGTGAGGAAAGAGGAGGTGATCCAATGTAGATAATCACTCATTGTCAAGTTTGAATGCAGCACAGCCCCAAAAGGGCTCCCTAGCAAAGAGATTTATAAGGCTGTTGGTAGACTGAGTCGTGGAGTTCCCATGAACTCATTCACCCACAATTTTGCATGTGTGAATATGTTTTCTCCTAGAAGAAGGACTCACAAGTTTTGTGAGATTTTCTAAGGATACGTGACCTCAAAAAGGTAAAATGCAGCAAAACCAACAAAACAAATAAAACCCCACTACGCTACCAACATTGTGCTTGCCTGTGCAAGAGCAATTAAGTTGTCTTCTCACAGGCACTCAAAATGGAACGGCTTCCATTGTCAGCATCAGGACTCTGCTGCCCAATCGCATGACCTGAAAAGCTCTGTAGTGTTTCCTTATTGGTTCAGAGGGAGTCCAAACTAAATTAAAGTTGTAATTAAAGTCAGTAAAATAAAACACTAGCCCACGGCAAATTTAAAACTGGGAGTTCTGGGGTTTGATTTGTGTTACTATGGCACATAAGTTCCTTTGGAGGAGCCGGTTTCCAAGGCCACTGCTTTGCCTACTCTCAGCAGTGTTCAGAACACCCTCTGAAAATGCACTCCCTCCATCTCCTAAAACAGTGTGGTACCTTGAAGGCCATATTCTATATTTCGATCTCCTCATTGTATAATTTATTCAAACACTTCTAATAATTAAATAATTTCAGTTTATCTTGCTCTTTCAAGTCTAATTGTGAAATGCAATGCACTTTGTGATCATGGGAATTCACTTATACTTTTATTTTTTAAAAAGATTTATTTATTTGAAAGGCAGAGTCATGAAGAAAGAGGGATAGACAGAGAGAAGAGGGAGAAAGATAGATAGATAGATAGCTTCCATTAGCTGGTTCACTTCCCAAATTTGGCCTGCAGGTCAAAGCCAGGAGCCTGGAACTCCATCCAGGTCTCCCACACAGATGGCAGGGACAAAAGTACTTGGGCCATCATCTGCTGCCTTCCCAGGTGCGACACAGGAAGCTTGATCAGAACTGGAGTTGCTGGGAGTTGAACTGGCATTCCAACATGGCGTGTGTGCATCCCAAGTAGAAGCTTAACCCAGTGCACAATGCCTGCCCTAGACACACTTTTTATAAACTGAGATAACATTTCTTTTTTTTTAAATGCTCTTAGTAGTGTCAAAACATAAATAAGATGTATGTAAAATAATATAATATATTCAATATAGCTAGTGGAATTTTTTGCTAGGAAGAAAGTACTACAGAATTATTGCTTAAATATCTGGTCAAAATTGGAGCTAGTGTTATGGTGTAGCAGGCAAAGCCACCGCCTATGATGCTGGCCTGGCTGTTCCACTTCTGATCCAGTTCCCTGCTAACTGTCTGGGAAAAGCAGCGGAAGATGGCCCAAGTGTTTGGGCCCCTATCACTCATGTGGGAGACCTGGATGAAGTTCCTGGCTCCTGGCTTTGGCTTGGCATAGTCCCAGCCATTGCAGCCATCTGGGAATGAGCCAGCAGATAGAAAACCTCTCTCTCTCTCTCTGTGTGTGTGTGTGTCTTACTCTTCCTCTCTGTAGTTCTGACTTTAAAATAAAAAAATCTTTTTCTTTAAATATACAATCAAAATTGCATCTAATATCTATGATTTTGACAAATGTCCTCCTTTATAATCTGCAAAGGCATTCCTATGCTCTCTGGCTAGTGGGAAAAATAAATTAGCTGAATGCTGAGTCAGTCCTTAGTAAAATTATGACATCTAATGGGTTGACCAAGAACTAGCATTGAGTGTCTATAAAACTGGGCCCTGGTCTTTATTTTGCCAACAACACAGAAAGCAGCTAAGAACTTCTGAGCAGGATGTTTTGAGTTCCTTTTCACTGTAGGATTTGAGAGCTGCACATCACCGATAGTTGTACTCAAAATAGAAGAACAAAAGAAAGCAACGGAGTGTTGAAATGTGTATATTTGTGAGTAATGTAATATTTTCTGTATCACTTATGCACTTACATAAGTTCTACTGAAATGTCACCCAAGAGTTTTATTTATCTCTCATACATTATCCTTATTATATCAAGAGGGAATCAAAGCACAGGATGCTATGTGAGTAGCCTCAGAGCTTCAGCCTCAGTTTAAATACCACCTTTTATCCAGGGTTTTCAAAATGCCTTCCATACATTTAGAATTAAATTGAAGTTACTCTTATTGTCCATGATACTGCTCCTCAAAGTGTGATATGCAGGCCAGCAGCAGCAGCAGCTGGAACTTTGGAGAATGCCAATTCTGAAGGCCTTCCTAGAACAACTGGATCAGGAAGTCTAGGTTTAGGGCCCAGCAGCCTGTGTTCATAAGCAGACCATGTGATCTTGATCCTTTAGCTATTTGAAAGCCACTGATCTAGAACAGATCCACAGGGAGTCATGACTGGAATACCCAATGTGTGGGTCAGAGAGAGGCATGATGTCATGGCCTTGTCATTTCTGTTCACTGACTTCACTGTTGGGTTAGTTCTCTCCGTGCCATTGTTTTCCAAATGGAAATGACTTGTTTCCAAAACTGAAGGTTTACTTTGGGACCTATAGACATTCCTTTCTCATGGACAAAGCCAAATTCAAGGTTATGTTTATTTAACCCAGGGAAAAGTGTCAAAATTGGTAAATTCATTGAGACCAAGAGGTTAGGGTTTATGTCAAATTTGAAAGTCATTAATGATATTCAAAATTCTGAAAATACTTACTGGCTTTGGTAATGGGTCCAGAAGGTTGCAGTCATATTTATAAAATATTAAAATAATAAATATCTGAATCTCTAACAGAGCAAACCACCTGAAAGAAAATACAAAATTAATACTGGTTGTGAAAAACCTATTACAAGGATAGAGTGAGAATTTAACTCTTAAAACCACTTACTCTATAAGTTAGCTGGCATGACTAAATCGCTTCAAAATGTATGTAAAATGTTTATCTAGTGGCAGCACTCAACAAGCAAAAGGCCCAGATTTCTCAAAGATTTAGATCTGAGCTTTCCAATACCACAGCTATTAGATACATGTGGCTATTTAAATTTAAATAAACTAAAATGAAACAAAATGACAAATTTCAGTTGCTCAGTTGTACTGGCAGTATTTCAAGTGTTTAGTAGCCATATGTAGCTACTGGCTATCATATTGGATGGTGCATATTTAAAACATTTCCCTGACCATGGAAAGCTCTATTTGATAGCCCCACTTGTGTCTACACTCCATTACCCACTAAAAATTACTATCATATTCTACAGGCACTTCAAATTCCCCAGAACCTCCAAATCTATTCTTTCTTCTCTCAAAGTCCCCACATTTTTTTTTTCATGCAACCTGATAATAATATATTTGGCCATGCCCTACAGGAGGAGGGTATTTCAAAAGTTCATGGAAAAGTAAAATTAAAAGATGACTTTTTTTCTGATCTAGATTATATTGATTTAAAATAGCTTAGAGTTGACTGCAGAATTAGGTACAAAGCAATCTCCTGACTTTTTTGTTTCTACCTAGAAACCTTTTTTAAGGCATACAAACTTCATATAATTCATATATACAAATTCAGGAACATAGTGATTCAACCCACCCTACCTTCCCTCCCACCCACACTCCCATCCTTCTTCCTCCTCCCTCTCCTATAAGATCTATTTTCATTTAACTTTATACACATAAGATTAACCCTACACTAAGACTTCAACAAATAGTATTAAAAAAGAAACTATTCCTTAATGGTCAAGATAAGGGTTGAATATAACTTTATTTTGATACAAAAAAAATCTTGAAATCCATATGCATAATTTTTTTCATACTATGCAGTTTCCATGAACTTGTTGAAGATCCCTCAAGACTGATATTCACTTGTTTTAAATTATGTGTGCATATAGCTTTGTCAGTTTATTGTTTACTATATAGCACAAATATAAACAGAAAAATACTGAGAAAAGTGTAAATGAAACTGCTATTATTTGTTGCAGCCCAGTGGGTTGCTCTGAGCTCTCTGTAGGGCAGTCAGACCCTTGGCTCCTCTAATGAGGATAATGAACACAGTCAGTCCAGTGGGCTAGAAAACTGAAAGCTGGCATAGACTCAATTCTCAGTATCCCCACTCCACATCCAGGCAGGCACAAAGTCCTTCTGTTGTCTAAATAATTTCCAGTTCTTTCAATTATGTCCTCAGTGTAGTTCTTCACCATTTACTTCCTGGATTACTGAATTAGTTTAGCACCATACTGATTTCTTTGCTCCCAGGTTCACTTCCCTCTACTCCATTCTATCACTGGAGTGAACATTCTAAAATGTTAAGTCTTCAGTATCGCCTTCTTTCTCTATTACACACACACAGAGAGAGAAAGAGAGAGAGAGAGAGAGAGAGAGAGAGAGAGAGATACTCTTTCCATTTCTTTCTAGTGGCTGTAACAGAATACTGCCAGCCCTCAAAGATCCACCGGCTACTATCGCTGCAGCTTCCTGTCTCCCAGAACCCGCACTTGACATTAAAGTCCTTGCTACACTGTATTACCTGATAGTCCCTGAAGACACTCTACTGCAAGCCCTTTCCTGTCTGAGGTTCAACCTCTTCTGAAAGCATTTCCACATCAGTCGCCTCTGGGCTGGAGTTCCCTTCTTCTCCATTTCTATAACTCTGTTCACATCTCTGCTGCAGTTTCTACTACATTGACATGTGATGACTTATTAGCCATGTCTCCTAGAGGAGGAATTGCGTTGGTGGCCTTAGCATCGTACATAGCACACTACTGGTGCTTAATAATGTTAACTGAATAAATAAATGGTTTATGGACAGTGAGATTGCCCATAAAGCAGATTCAACTTCCTTGGGCCCGCAATGGCACAGCAGGTTGAGTCTACAATGCCAGCATCCCATATTAGAATGGTGCTGGTTTAAGTCCTGGCTACTCTGATTCCCATCCAGCTCCAAACTAACATGCGTGGGAGGCAGAAGAGGATACTCCAAGGACCTGGGCCTTTGCCACTTATGTAGGAGACCTTAATAAAATTCCAGACTGGTGAATTAGGCATAGCACAGCCCTGGCCATTATATCCATTTGGGGAGTGAACCTGCTGATGGAAGATTTCTCTGTCTCTCCATCTCTCTGATTATCTCTCTCCGGCACTCTGCCTTTCAAATAAATAAGTAAATATATAAAAAAAATTCCAGCCTTTTCTCTTTGTTTCTGTGATAATTTCCACATCCCTCAACTAATGTCCTTAATCTGTGGTGCTGCTATATTCCACTACATTACTCATTTGCTAGTCTGTCTTTGCTTACAATCTTCATGAAGAGCTGGAAAGCATGTCTTAGTCATCTCTCAATATTTTATGTCTGAATGAGTGAATTAATGAATATTAATGATATGATACTAACATCAGATACCTAGAGTTTTCTTCTACAGGTGTTACTGAAATACCTTGGCTATATCTTATTTTATAAATGAAATCTGAAGCCTTCAAGGTGTTGTTAATACCATATCATTTCTTCAGGAATATTTATGATACAAATTTAACCCTACTTATTTGTAAATGCTAAGACAATCTATTTGCAAAAAGTACCAATATCTGTGAAATAGGACACACCCTTATTTAGTGATCCAGATATAATTAAGCAGAGATTCTAAGAAAAATTAAATTTGCTAAATTGTGTGAGGTTCAGAATTTCTCAGAACTAAGTATTTGTGAAAATTGTAACAAATTGGAACTTCTACTCCTGGCCATGATGAAAGTAATTAAAGTCAGTAATACCCTTCTGCCTTAACTATTATAAAACTGGCAAAATCCCCAGGGTAGGACAAAAATACTGAAGAAAAAGCAAAGAAATGAGGGGAGCACTATGATTGCCCTGTGGCAATCTGCAAGCCACAATGCAGGGAGAGGAAGACCCCACCACCACCACAGTCTTGATACTATGACCAAATTAAGGATACAGAGGTCAAAGTGCAGGCAAGCTAAGGAGACTAGAGTTTCTAGGGAAGCTCATTAGACAGAGATCCTCACAGAAGAGTAACAACATTCCAGAGAGCTCGATGGGGATCTCCCTGAGCATCTGGCAGAGCTCTATGGAGAAGGCAGAAGAGAGATCAAGAAAAGAGAGCCAACGAGCAACAATCTAAACAGGGACCAGAGTCCAGACAGACATGCAAGCTGAACTTCTGCTGGGGAAAGCCTACGGATCCTGTAGCATACAGACCCCTGGGGAGACTACTGCTGCTGCAAGAGCCACCCTGGACTTAACAAAGTTTACTTGCTTTTCTAAGCAGCTAACTGCATGTCATCATAAAGTTTAAAACTAAAAGAATACAATGAAACCCAGCATCTAAGACACTTAAAATCCACATCCTGCAACTAATAAAAGGCCTAGAAGAAGCAAGAAGATAGGGCTCATATGCAAGATGAAAATTATTCAAAAAGAACAGAAATGAAAACAGTTAATTAAACAGTTATCAAATACATTGTACATAGAAAACAGCATGAGAAGGACACAAAAGGAAGACTTAAAAATTACCAAAATTCAACTTCAAGCAACTAAAAATATATCTTCCCCCCAAAGCAAGCTTTTATTTAAGGAATACAAACTTAATGCATTTTATAAGTACAACTTTAGGAATATGGTGATTCTTCCCACCATGCCCACCCTCCCACCCACTCTCCCATCCCTCCGCTTCCTCCTTCTCCCATCCTCAGTCCCATCTCCACTAAGATCAATTTTTATTAACTTTATACATAGAAGACCAACTCTATACTAAGTAAAGAATTCAACAATTCACACACACACACAAAAACAAAAACAACAAAAACTGTTCCTCAACATTCAAGACAAGGGCTGTTCAAAGTCATTGCATCTTGAAGTTTCATTTTGTTTTAGAAACTTACTAACTTTAAAGAAGCACCCAAGAATTATACATCTTTTGCAAGCACTTAGACATAACTTTAATACAATTCTTTGAGGACAGAGTCTTAAATGGAAAATATGCTGAATGAGATGAACAGAAAATAAGATAATATGAAAGAAAAAATCATGGAAACATAACAATGGAATATATACAAGATGAAGTACATAGAATAAAAGGACCATAAAAAGAAATGAACTGAGTATCAGTGATCTTTAAAATAATATAAAGTCTAACATATATGTAAATTAGGGATACAAATTGGCAGAAAGAAAAAACATTTTAAAGAATTATAGCTGAAACATTTCCAAATGTTTGAAAACTCCATTTTACAGATCCAAGAAGCTCAGTGAATTCCAAGTAGAAGGAACACATAGAAAACCATGCCAAGACAAATCATGATTAAATTGCTAAAAACTACTGATAAAGTAAGAAATTTGAAAGCCACAGGAAAAAAAGACACAATAGAAAACAAGGGCAGGGATTGGCACAGTGACTAACACACTACTTAGGACGCCTGAATGCCATAATGGAATGCTTGGGTTGAAATCCACACTTCCATTCTGATCCCAACTTCCTGCTAATGTGCAGCCGGTGGTAACTCAAGTATGTGGGTCTCTGCCACCCACGTGGGAGATCCAGATTGAGTTCTGGAGTCCTGGCTTTGACCTGGCCCAGTCCTGGCTATTGTGGGTACTTGGGGTGTGGGCCAGCAGATGCAGAATTTTTTTTTTGTCTCTCTATGTATGTCTTTCAAATAAATACAAATAAAGAAAATTTTTAAAAAATTAAAAATTAACAGACTTTTTATCAGAAACTATGCAAGCCAAAAGACAATGAACCACATGTTTAAAGTGTTATGGGAAAAAAAGTGTTTAAGGTACAAAGAAAAGGAGAAAATATTGTA